AGATCAAGTCCAGCCCCCTTCCCTCATGGCAGAACCAAGCACCGTCTGGAAGACAAACCCTAATAGATGTCCATCCCACCTGGTCTTAAATATCTCCAGTGATGGAGATTCCACAACCTCCTTACACAATTTATTCCAGTGTTTAACCATCCTTACAGTTAGGAAGTTTTTCCTAATGTCCAACGTAAACCTCCCCTGCTGCAGTTTAAGCCCATTGCTGCTTGTCCTATCATCAGAGACCAAGGAGAACAATTTTTTCTCTCCTCCTTGTAACACCCTTGTAGGTACTCGAAAGCCACTATCATGTCCCCTCTCAGTCTTCTCTCTTCTACACTAAAAAAGCCCAGTTCTTTCAGTCTTCCCTCATAGGTCATGTTCTCTAGACCTTTAATTGTTTTTGTTGCTCTTCTCTGGACTTGAATGGATGATGGGGCTTTTTTATCTTCTTTAAAGAAATACCAGAAGGGCAAAAGTGGGTGGCATAGTCCATCCACCTTATTCTTTTGTCCACCAATTATCCCTCAAACCAATTTTGATCTGCAAAACTTCTGGTTTCACATCTGGGCTTCGTCTACACTGCACCCCTCTTGTGCAAAATCCTATGCAAATGAAGCACGGATTAGCATATTGCCACACTTTAGTTGCATAATTAATTAGGGGTCATTTTTGCGCAAGAGGCTTTTGTGCAAAAAGGAGCTGTGTAGACGGCTCCTTTTTGCACAAAATCCTCCTCTTGCGCAAGAGCCATTCTTCCTGAAAAAAATCCCGCACTTCATTTGCATAGACTTTTGTGCAAGAGGTGTGCAGTGTGGACATAGCCCAGATGTGAAACCAGAAGTTTTGCAGACCAAAATTGGTTTGAGGGATAATTGGTGGACAAAAGAATAAGGTGGATGGACTATGCCACCCACTTTTGCCCTTCTGGTATTTCTTTAAAGAAGATCAGTTTTATAATTTCAATAGTTCCTGAAGTGCATCAGTGTGGACACTTTACTTTAGTTTAATCCAGCTTCTTTGTCTGATTCTCTTGCACTTGTTGCAAACTTCAGCACCACCACCAACTTGACTTATTTTTCATGGTTATTGTACACACTGTGAACTTTCACACACTTACATTTGAGCTCACAATAGGGATACACTTTGTAGGCCCAATGAGCGCAACAGAACTTCCTGTAAACACGTGCAGAGCTGCCTCATTATCCAGCTACAAAACTCCATTTAAAGTTCCTCTTTGCTGCAAGGCCTACAAAAACTTGACACCTGCAGAGCTCCCATCATACTGACCAATATTGTCTCATTGTTTCCTTGTGCTCCCCGATAGTCTGTCCATCTCTTGCCTTATGCCTTGATTCAAAGCCCTTTGCAATAGTCTCTCTCTTTTTGTTTCCGCATTTGTACAGCACCTAGAACAGTAGGTTCCTGGTCCATAACTGGGGCTCCCAGATGCTATATTAATATTACTACTACTAATAATAATTAATTATTATTATTATTATTAAGTCCAAAAGAGTTACTTTTCATTCAATTTAATGCTGATATGAAAAATGCAAGCTAATAAGTTGGAAACAGATTTCCATCCTCTCCATCATAATGAAGGAGAAATGGCCACAGATTTTTTCATCAAGTTAATTCCAGATAGCAACCAAATCCAGGGCCCTGTCTATGCAGGAAGGATGGAATCATGTGGCAAGAAGCACTGCAGTGCCTCCAGTAACTTTGCTGATTTTTGCACAGTATTATAATTCTCCTTTTGACATTTTTCAGACACATCTGGGATAAAAGCTCAGACAACTTGCTGAAATATCACACTGATTTTATTGTGCTTCACTCTCCCTTTCAGCATCAAGTGGTTACTTGATGAGGCTTAAATGATTCGGTACCAGCCAAGTAAATTGAGATTGGTACATGCTGCTCCTGGAGAAGACTAATGTGGTTTATTTATGACTCTGTCAAGGAATAATTAAGCATCTGGCATACATCACTGTCCCCCTCACCCCCATCTGTGAGCTTTGTTTTTGCTTATTTCACATTTTGTTTTTCCCTTTTCTGATCTAGTCCAGTGGAATTAGCACGACCCATTTACTAACTCATCTGAGATCCAATTACTTTGGCTTAGTTGCTACAAAACTTCCTTACTCATGGATTCTGCAGCTCAGGGAGGGATTCAGCTGTACTAAATGTACTTCCTTTTTACTCTTGACTTTCTTCCATCCATTTAAGATATGGGCCTGATTCTGCCTTCACTGAGGTGCTGCAAATTTGGAGCAACTCCCAATGGAAATACACGGTTGTAGCACCAATGGGAGATCACGGTCATGTCGTTGTTTCTCTATGAACATTTCTGCAGAGACCATGACTGTGGCATGTTGGTGTAACAGAACTGCTGCAAATAATATTCAAAGTAAAACCTTCCTTTGTCCTAGGCAAAGGCTGCTGTCTTCCAGAAGAAGGCTGTCAGACTTCTCCTTCCTTTCCAGGGTGCCTGGAAGGAATGACTCTGCAAGATTGAAACACAACTCAGAGCTACCTGGGAACATGCAGAGGTGAGTCTTCCTTCTGCTTTTAAAATTTTCATTCTGACAAGTGACACCTGAGCGTGGCAGCATGCACTTGTCAACAATCAGTCTGATTTAGGGCCTGACGGAATCATTAGGTCCTCTAATCTGATGTCATGCACAATATAGGTCAGAGAGCGTCATCCAATTACTCCTGTATTAAGCCCAATAATTTGAGTTTGGCTAAAGTGTTGGGTTTTTTTCAGAAAAGCAAGGACTGAAGACATGAAGAGATGGGGAAACCACCACTTCCTTTGGTAGTTTGTTCCAATGGTTAATCATCCTCACCATTACAAATGTGAGTCTTATTTTTAATGAGGCTTCAATTTCTAGATGTTTGTTCTTGTCATATCTTTCTCTGCTCTATTAAAAAGCTTTCTGTTACCTGAAAGTTTCTCCCCATGAAAGTACTTATATGCTATGATCAAAACTGTTCCTGTATTTTAATATTATGTATCCAATTAATTTAGTTTTGTTTAGTCCCTCTGAATTCTAGTTCTATTTTCCAGGGGACAAATGCCACAGGCTGCTGGCCAGACAAAAAACAAAACAAAAAGAAAACAAAAACAAAAACTCATGACTTCAGCAGACCATTCAGATGTTCTGAGAATGACCCTTTGTATCATTGTTCTGCCATTGCAACAATCTTATCTGAAGCATATCATGTAAAGTGTCTATGAAAATGTTACATTTTCTCCAGAATGATTATTCTGGTTATTCCTGTATTATCACTGCGTCAGAAGTTATGAATACTGGCTATGTATCTGTATCTCAAATGTAGATGTTACCTCAGGAACAAGGTAGTTTACAGCTCATCTTGCCAGCCCGTTGTGAATGGGCTATTCATGCTTAATGGGTCATTAAGAAGAATCAACTCTCTAGATAGCTCTTCCTTTGGACCCTGCAGTAAGAATATGGGAAGTGGCTGCCCCTGTTTGTCATCAAAGAATGTGAGGACATGTAATATACTCATGTGACCCTGGACTCCATCTTAGGCCAATAACTTTCCAGAGTTAATAAATTTCCTGGCACATGGCAGAGGATAGAAAAGGCCTCTGAGAGAGCTCCATTTTGTCTCTTTCCTGCCCTGATTCTCTGGACTATGGATTTACAACTAAAAGGAGGAATTTGAACTATGACCTGAGGACCTTCCAATATTTTGGATGGTACCAGAAAGACTTTATATGCCTGCAGTCTATTTCATCACTGACACACCTGAAATAAGAACTTTTCAATTTATTTGTATGTATATGATATATTAGCCATGTATAACTCTCTTCTTGCATGAAACAAAAAACAGGACTATGTAGACTTTAAAGACTAAGAAGATGATTTATTAGGTGATGAGCTTTCGTGGGCCAGACCCACTTCCTCAGATCAAAGTGGGTCTGGCCCACGAAAGCTCATCACCTAATAAACCATCTTGTTAGTCTTTAAAGCGCTACATAGTCCTGTTTTTTGTTTCAGCTACACCACACTAACATGGCTTCATTTCTCTCTCTCTTCTTTCATGTTGTTGTTGTTATTAAACCTTTAGATTTTAATTACTACATGATTGGCATCAATGTGATTATTGGGTAATATCTGGCTATACAACCCCCACATTATACAGTGACCTGGCTATGTGGCTGATCTCTTGGGATTAGAAGGACCCTGTATTTGTTTTCAGAAACTGCTTATCATAGAGACCAGTGTCTGGGTGGTGAGAAAAGGACTAGGATGCCTAAGAGGACAGTATCTCTGATTTCTTGTTAACTGAGACAGAAGTTTACTCTTGTTACTAGCTTAGTATAATCTAATGATCAAATAACCACCAGTTTGGGGTGAGTCTGCCCCATTTCTCAGCTGTTTGTCCTGAATTTGGTATTCTCAGCTGTGACCCACTGAGGCACAGTGACAAGCACATCTCAGAATTTGGCTTCTTATTTATTCTTTATGTTGCCTACTAGGGGAAGGGTGGAAAAGGTAGACCAGAGTTACCACTTTTGGCAAATTGTTTGGTCAGATAGAGTCAGTTAGTAACAATTGTCATAAATCAGTGTCACTCAAAGTAGCTGATTTGAACCAATCGGTCTTCATGATTCAGCCTTTTGTTCTTATTTTGCAGAAGATAATTCAGTCATGAAAATGATGTCCTGTTGTGCTGTTTGGGGTAGAGCAATGTGTACTCAAACTCTAAGTAAAAACACACTGCATTGTCATACAAAGGGCATGTCGATCATGTATAATCCTAACAGAAGTCATGCTATATAAAAAAAAAGATAGAGATAACATTTTGAGAATGGTTCTTCGTCATATTACCTTAATAGATGTTATTGGTTTCCTGTAAATAAAGAACTCTGCTTTGGAGCCAGACAAAGGAATGTAACAATAAAGAGTGACCACAAGTGTGCATGGGTAACTTTACAATGAAAAAATTAAAGAAGTACAAAGTAATTAATACTGTAATTTATTACGGGACAGTATATTCTAGTCAAATTAGTCACTTAAAACAATAGACAAATAGTCCAATGGGATTTTTTCTTTGTATAAATCATCTTCAAGTCAACCCATGAACTTCACATTACATGGAATTCTGAAAGAAATTAGCAGATGTTAGGACTATACTTTGTGTTGAGCTTTGTAATTGATGTAATGTAAAAATTCAGTCCTGTGTGTCAGTTCCATCCCAAAACTAATGGTACAAAATGTTAGCCTCTGCAAATAGTAGTGGATGAATCTCAAAAGGTTTGAATAACTATCCAAAGTCCACAATGATTATCTGAACTTATGAGGTCTTTCACCCATACTATAAATCTTTCCTCCCTACATTTTTTCCCTTCATCACCAAGGTCTACCTCCCTCTAAGAGGCCTTCTTCTTGAAGACTGGGGAGCACAGTGTTTATCTTGCAGTCCATTCAGCTGAGCCTTTAGAAGACTCAGTGAGTAAAACTCAGGCACAACAATAAGTCACACTTTAGTTGATACAATAACATGGGAATGGGACTTATTTGTTGCCACAGACCTTCTGTTGGCCATGGTGGAGGGTGAATTACATTCAAAGTGTTTAAGAACATGTTTAAGCTAACCACAGTTAGAAATATGTTGCCAAAAAGTTCATTCCATATCTCTCCATTCATCAGCTACTGGATCCGTGGCTTGTTTCTTTCTTAAACGTTTAATACCAAAAGTATATTTTGTAGATTTTTTTTCGCTGTCATTCTAGTCACCATCCTCTCCTTCAACCAGCATTACCAGTTGCAGTGAAAACAGATGTCACAAACAGAAAATAGTGACCTCTTTTTTTTGAAAAGTTCAGAAAGGTTGAGAGAGGATGGGGATGGTAGAAAGAGTATGAGGTTTCCTTTATAGATTAATATATACTTAACTTACCATTAAAATGTAAATGACTTTAACACAACTATCAAGAAGCGCACACACTGAAGCTGAGCCATCATGTGCTATTATAGCCCATTGTCTTACTTCACCCAGGATATGTCTACACTACCACCCTAATTCGAACTAGGGCGGTTAATGTAGGCAACCAAAGTTGCAAATGAAGCCCGGGATTTAAATATCCCGGGCTTCATTTGCATCTTGCCGGGCGCCGCCATTTTTAAATCCCCGCTAGTTCGGACTCTGTGCCCGCGGCTACACACGGCACGGAGTAGGTAGTTTGGGTTAGGGTTCACGGAGTAGGTAGTTCGGATTAGGCTCTCTACTCCGAACTACCGTTACTCCTCATGGAATGAGGTGTACCAGTAGTTTGGATTAGAAAGCCTAATCCGAACTACCTACTCCGTGCCGCATGTAGCCGCGGGCACGGAGTCCGAACTACCGGGGCTTTAAAAATGGCGGCGCTGGCAAGATGCAAATGAAGCCCGGGATATTTAAATCCCGGGCTTCATTTGCAACTTCGGTTGCCTACATTAACCACCCTAGTTCGAATTAGGGTGGTAGTGTAGACATACCCCCACCCATCTACCTTCTGTTGTTTGTTGTTAGTCATCTAAAATTAGGTCCCAATCCTGATGTCAGTGAGATTCCATCAGAGTGCAAGGATCAGCATTAGTGGGTTCTGATCTAGGTTCAGGTGGCTTTTGATTGCAAGCATTACAGGGCAGAAATCTTGTCTTAGTATTTTTCTCTGTGGAGCACTTCACATGCTTTAGGGTACATCTACATTGAAACACTAGTTTGGGATACTGGGTACCCCAAAATAGCTATCCCGCATCTTCACAGCAAGCCCATTATTTTGGGCTTGCTATTCCAATGTGCCTGTAAACCTCATTCTACAAGGCTTAAGGGGAGTTTGGGAATAGCGCTTTATTTTGAAATTTTGCGCTGTGTAGACTGCACCAAATGACAAAATAAGGTATTTCAAAATAGCATTGAAATAAGATATGCAATTTGCATAGCTCAAATTGCATATTTTATTTCAAGTTACAGTGCAGTGTAGACGCATCCTTTGAGTGCTGTGTAAATAATAGTATTTCTAAGTTTGGAACAGGGAAATAGCAAAAAATTGTTATGCTTGTATTACCACTTTGAAAGAGCATAAAAGTTCTTAATGCTCACACTTCATAAAATACATTAACTTCATTAGCTTGTTGATAGTGCACACAACACCCCTGATCTTTCAAGTGGCTCTGTGCAGACAGATTCCTCTCCCTATGCAGAGCAACTAGCAGTGAGAGGGATTACATGTGCAAGAAATTATTTCTCAATAACACCTTCCGTCTCAAAGATTATTTATTAAGAAAATAGAATGAAGCCTTTTAAAATCACCTTTCAGAGTCCTATTCACCACCATCTTCAATAGTTCTTCCATTTCTAGGCTGAAAATGTAATTAAATAATATTGAGGTACAGAGATCAGATAAGCAAACACTGCAGAAAATGGTACGTTTAGGAAAAATCATAAAATTATATGCCAAATTTACCACAAGTGGATAACCGGTATGGAGTGGAAATAGGACTTATGTATGGAGTATGCAACCTAGGGTCTGTTCATTCAATCTCTGGACCGACAGCTGACAGATCTGACTTATTTTTCATTCGGCACCTTAGCTCCAATTCAACAAAATACAAAGCCCTCTGACTAACTCTAAGCACATGAGTCATTCCACTGAAATCACTTGGATGACAGACATGTTTAAAAGTTAGGCACATGTTTAAGTATCCTCCTAACTCAGGGCCCTGCTTACCTGTCAGGGCCTATTTTTACTTGATTCCTCTTCCTCTGTTGGTGGGGAGCATGTGAAAATAATTTTGCCCATGTCCACATAGTGCATCACTGGCTGAATTTGGGTTAGAACAGTGTCTGCAGCATTCTTACTTTGGGCAATGATCCAACAGTCACAGTGAGGGGGGAAATAAACCACAGATGATTTTTCATACGTTCCATTTTTTTTTGGCTGTATTCACTGAATGTGATTATCAGATCATTTGGTTAGTGCAGTACTAATATTTATGTAAAAGAAAATAAACCTTTTCCACCACAACTCCTCTCTCGAAGGCTACGTCTACACTATGAGTTTTCTTGGCAAAAAATATGCAAATGAGTGACTCATTTGCATGAGTCGTAATCTCATTTGCATATTTTCAGCTGCTCTGTTTTTGCGCTGGGGTTTTTGTGCGAAAACAAGCAGTGTGGATGTTTTCTTTTTGTGCAAAACTCCCTTTTTCCACAAGGAGGTATACCGATGCACATAAACCCCAGCACAAAAACGGATCAGCTGAAAATATGCAAATGAGATCATGACTCATGCAAATGAGTCCCTCATTTGCATATTTTCGTCCAAGAAAACTAATAGTGTAGACATAGCCTAAGTGGAACATTTCAAGAGGTAATATTTTAAGGGTCATCCTTGTACAACAAAGTTTTAATCCATTACTGAACAGGACTTCACAGTTTTTACACCTTTTATTCTAACAAAGCACAACATTAACTCCCTAAGCTTGTCAAGCAATGACTTTAGACTGCAGCATCTACAGAATACCAGGAACATTTTTTAGCTGCAAATAGTTTAATATTTTTAGATATAAATAGCTTTATGTTGTTTTCTATGCCAATGTGAAATTGCTTATAATTCAGAACTGTATAAAGAAAAAGACAAATCAGATACCCTGAAAAGAAAAAAAGGCCGTCCCATGGTACCAGCACTGTCCTGTAAAATAAGACACACAACCATTAACAAAATATATTTCAATTATAGTATGGATATATTGACAAGTCTTTGTGTCATTGTCAGAGTTGTTGTCGTCAATAATTCAAGGAGCCTTTTCAGCAGTATGCAAATAACTAGATGCTGATCGTTCCCAATGCCCATTCACCTGAACTACTGATTAAACATTAATACCCAGTAGGCATTGTCAAGAACTATCCATTTCGTTGGCTGGAAATATATTAGAATACCACAATTAAATATGATGTTACATGGACTTTAGAAAATGTCTTGTAGGCTGCTTTAGTAGTGGTTGATTATCTCTTGGAAGCAGCAGGTGAGCTAGTTCAGAATAACTGTGGTCTCAGATTTTTATTTTAGTCTAAATTAAATTAACATACCTTCTTTGTAAACTCTGCAGCAGCAATTTGTGATTCCTGTAAGGTGATAGCACATATCAGTTTCAACATATCCATCTGTTCATGAGGTGTTCATTTCCTTGGTTTTGCATATTAATCTTCTAGTACTGGTTTTAAGTACATTGCTCCAATCCATTTTTGGAAGTGAGAATGTTAAACACAAATCAGATTGTTACAGAGAATCTAGCAGGAAATCAAAATTTGCTGTCTGTGTAGTAAGTATCTCTTTAACCGATTTCAATGTAAAATATATTGTTGTCACTGAAATGCAAATTAAACACTCATGCTCTTGAGAATCATGCAATGCTTGAACTGAAAGGAGTATAAGGAACAATATTCACCAGGTTTCAGAATAATATTGACTTCTGTGATCTTGTTGAAATGTGGTTGGTTCCCCATCTTTAAGATTTCCACTGATATTTTAAATCCAATCTGGGTTGCTGCTTCTAAACCCAGCCCATGCTGTGACCACACTTGCATCACTGAAGTCACTGCAAGTTCTGCCGTTCAAGATCAAGCCTTGTGTCAATAAAGCCTCTGATCTTTCAATCTGATCTGCAAGGACAACCCTTTTACAGCCCCGCTGACTTTGACTGGACTTTAAATGGTCCTTAAATGGAAAAGGCTCGTTTAGTAATATCAGGAGAGATCAGTGGCAGCAATAGCTACACCAGGGATTGGATTTAGCTATCAGGGATATGTTTTAAATATGTACGTAAAATGGAAGATGAAAGTAAAGATATAAAAATAAAGAAGATGGAGAGGGGCCAGAAAATGGGGAACTGACAGTAAAGGGGGGGGGAAGAAGAGTAAAGTTTGAAAAGGGAAGGGAAGGAACTTAAATTTTAAAATGAAAGCATAGAGAAGGAAAGAGGAGAGCCCAGACAGAATATAAAGCAAGAGGACTTCCCTTTGCTAGATGCTCATGGTTCCAATATGGAGACAATGATTTATAAAACAACTGAAATTTTAGTTCCATAAAATACGATGGAAGAAACAAATGCATACTGGATCAAGGAATCTTTTCATTCTTCTCTCAGAGAGCTTTGAAGCAAGGCGCATTAAAGGATGCACAGGGGAAGACTACAACAAAGAGATATCATGAACACTAGTTTTGTACTAAGATGATCAATTAGACACAAAACATTCAAACATAGTCACTGACTAAAAATTGTTGATAGTCTGGCACTTCAGAAACCGACATTTACAATACATATTAATTTATTTTAATGCAGAATCATTGCAAAACCCAAGCTCTGTAATGATCATAGATTGAAAATTTCAAAGTAGTCTAGTTGAGATAAAGACCTAAATTCAATGAGATTTGGGTGCTTACTGCTCCAGGCTCCTTTGAAAACCCCAGATGTAAAGCTTATACAAAGATTGGAGGAAGAAATTAAATTCTCTAGCCAGTTCTTTAAGTAACTTGAAGAATTGTTGCACACTTTGGGAGAAATCTTGGGCATTCTGCTATTGACATCAGTGGGGCAAAGATGTCATAGCCCGTTTTAAAATGTAATCTTAATGTTTTAAGCAAATTCTAATCCACACGTCCCACAAATGTATAAGGCCATCTAAGAGGAGGATCTACTCAATAAGAATTTTTTTTTATGTTAAGGTTGAATTTAGCCCAGAGTTCCCAAGGTATTGGGGAAAATTCAAGTGGGCCAGAGATAGGGAGATTCATGTCAAAATAGGCATGTGAAGCTGGATAAAAGGTGTAATTTTTAGCTGATTGTGGTGGAAAACCTGCAATCAGCATTTTGTGGGTTTGTGGTTTAGCTAACGTATTAAATATATTCACAGCCAAGATCTAGAAGACATTTGCTTGGTTTTTATTTTGTATTTTTTGGGGGTGAGACTGTATATTAGAACTCAATGTAAATATTTTAATGCTTTTTATTCAATTTTTTAAAATGCATTCAGAATTAGAAACTAAAGAAACTGACAAAGTATAGAAAAGCTAGAAAAGCACCTTTTAAAAATCCTTCCTGTAATTATTTTAAAGTCATTGTACATGACCTGAATAAACTGATTGTTTGAAACTTTAGAATCACGGTACATTATCGTTTTCAGACTAAAGCCATTCAGATATAAAGGGGGGTTCAAAGAGTTCTGTAATTTTGGTGGGTAAAGCTCTTGAAAGCTAGCATTAACTAAAAAGGTACAATAGGAAAAAATGGCTTTGGGGCAAGGATGCCATTTCGGGAGGGAGGGAGGGAGAGAAGGGCAGCAGCCGTGCACTCCGGAACATGGCTTGCTTTTCATTTCATTCCCCAGACACTAAGGCTATGTCTACACTGGTGCAATCTTGCACCAGAGCTATGCAAATGAGGTTAAGCATGGAATATCTCCGAGCTTCATTTGCATATATAATGAACCACCATTTTTGCGGAAGAGGCTCTTGCGCCAGAAGGAGCTGTCTACACAGAAGGAGCTGTCTACACTGCCCCTTCTTGTGCAAGAAAAACCCTCTTGCACAATGCCATTATTCCTGAAAATAATCAGCGTAGCGGCATTGCGCAAGAGGGTTTTTCTTGCACAAGAAGGGGCAGTGTAGACAGCTCCTTCTGGCGCAAGAGCCTCTTCTGCAAAAATGGCGGCTCATTATAGATGCAAATGAGGCTCGGCAATATTCCACACTTAGCCTCATTTGCACAGCTCTGGCGCAAGATCACTCCAGTGTAGACATAGCCTAAGAGAGTGAGGGGAAAGTACTTGCATTCCATGGTTGCCTCTCACACATGGTTGGTAAAAGGAGCTCACCAGCAAGGTGTGAGAGGCATGCATGCAATACAAGTATTTCCCCCTCATTCCCTTAATGTCCAGGGAATGGGATGAAAAGCAAGCCGTGGCCCGAAGGGCACTGTTGTTGCCCACACCCACCCACCAATATTCTACCATTGCTTTGGGGCCCTCTTGGCTGGCTGTATTCAACATGAGCTAAGAGCCTCAATATCTCACAGGCTTAAGCCTTTATAGATGATTAAGCAAGGTACTTAAGCACTGAAATCAATGAGTCTACTCACTTGCTGAAAGTTAGGCATATGCTTAAGTACACTGCTGAATCAGACTTAGTAAACATCTTGCTCACATACTTATTCTACGCAAAAGTGATGATTTTGTTAAAATACTGACCCCAGGTTTAAGTGGATATGCTGGTTCTTGAACTCTTGAGTAGTGAAATAAAAACTGCATAAAAAGAGCAATTTTAGAATATAATCTTATCAAATCTAAGAGCTGAAATTATATGCATATATTACTAAGATGAAGAAATACTTACTCTTTTATACATGTCCTCATTGTTTTCCTAGTAAAGATAATGATGATAGTCAAACTCTATTAGGTTAGACAAAATATTGAGAAAGATTTTCTTCAAGGAAAGAAAATCATTAGACCTTACCTCATCTATCTGCATGTCATTAAAAATAGCATTACAAAGATCCATTACTTTACCGGAGATCTAAAAGATAAATAGATTTTTTTAAAACATAGATCCATTTTATAGTATATTTTGTACATAATTTTTATGGTAAGAAGCCTGATTTTCATTTCACAAATTTAAATCAAGAATAATTCTACTGAAGCCAAAGGCATTATACCAGAGTGGAGCTTAGTGGAGCTACCAGATATAAAATATTATGTAATTTTTATATCTGGGAAAAGTTGATAGCAAATGAATTAGGTCAGTATACTCATATGCTACATACAAAACAAATTCTTAGCATCATTTAGTGAAATTAGATTGATGGGAAAATAGAACATAAGTCAGCAGAACCACTTGCATCATTCCAGCTAAGTATTCAACAGCATTGAAGAGATGGAGCAGGCATTTACATTGATCATTTCAGATGCTAATTATAATTGTTATGGAATAGTCAATGTATCTGGAAGAGTAGAGTCAGTTCAATAAATTATAAAGTCAGTTTACCTTCGGTTGATTAGATAGCTCTGTCCACTGACTGAAACACATTGCTAGCTTAAAAATAAAGAAGAGACATTAAGGTAAGTTATATACTGCATATATAAGTAATATAAGTAATATGTAAGTTATATACATATAAGTAGTATGTAAGTAATATAAGTAGTATAAATAATATGTAAGTTATGTACTGTGTATATGCTAAATATATGGTAAGATATATACTGTATATTAACCTGTATTTTAGTAAGAGATATTTTAGTGTTAATAATATTTTGTCAAGGCATTTCCTGATTCAGCTATCTGACACTGAATGTGTATATTTTGTTAAAATAGGTAGCAAAGGGCCATTTTAGATATATTTGCAAATCAGGAGGTGATCAAGTGGACATTCCTCCAGGTCATGTTGTTGTTATTTCATTGTTTTTCAATTCAACCTCAACTGTACCCTAGGTTTGATCACTGCATTGTCTTATATTTCAATTAATTTAGGGTAATTGTAAATACACGAGTAGTTTATTTTTAGCATTGTATTAGCTTGCTTATTCTCTTAGTAAAGCAGATATAAATGATATCAGCCTTGTTTCTCAGAATTGCAGTATGGTCAATGATCTACAAAAAGCACAAGTGAGCCCCTAGACCCACTCCTGAACTACCCTCCCGTTAGCCTTCAACTGCATACTTTTGTCCATGTTTTGTTAGCATGGTGAGCAAAGAGTTTTAATAATGCTTCCTTAGCCACTGGCTAACCGGAAAATGTTCAAGTGTACTCTGTTTCTCATTCCCTAATGGAAATTTAGCCTTGTTTCTGGTGCCCCCTGCACTGTGTTAAAAATATGCTTCCAGTTGATTGCCATGTTATGAAACCCTACCTCACTTTGAGGAATGTCTGGAGCATCCATAGTGCGAGAGCCAGGCTGAGGAAACCCTGTTGAGATAAAGCATTCACCAATGTAATTTCCAACGAAGGGTGACTGCCCTTCATTTAAAAGCTACCCCAGTACAAATTCAGAGAGAGGATTCTCCAAGAGCACGTGGAAGCTATAACCGATCAACAACTAGGGTACAATTAAATCCTAGCGCAGGCTAAAACAGGAGGGCTTAGCAGGGATGCTTGGCTTTGCTAATTTTGCTAAAGCGCCAAAAAAGGAGGTATCGTCCCACTGGGGAACGCTAGAGCATCCCCCCACCCCCGTGCATTGCCTCGGCAGACCTAGCTGCGGGGATGAGCAGAGAGGAGCATCCCAGTTCAGCACCCTGGACAGAGGCGCCGGCAGAAGAGAAGGTCTCCAGCCTTGTCTCCTCCAAAGTTTCCCCGCTCGCTTTGGCCTCTTGCCCAGTCCTAGCACTGACAGCTGGTGCCATTGGGGGTAGCTCCGCTGAACGGAGGGGACACTGGTCCCACGGCTGTGTCCATTTCCTCTCTGCCCGACACCCGCTGTGGCGGAGAGGGGGCTCTTTCCACAGACACCTCCCTCCCCGGGCACTGTTGGAAGAACCTGCTGTGCACCTCTTAGGCTCAGCAAGCAGCTCCTGTCTCATCCTGGTGCGGGACACATTCCCCGGCCCCCTCCCGCCCTGCCACTTCAAAGGAGAACTGCTTAGCCTTAAGAACCGCAGGTCCCCTTCTTCTGCGGGGTTTGAGAGCGGACAGCCACGTCCTTTGCTTAAACAATCCGCAGCCTTCAGCCCTGCAGCCTCCTGCTCCTTGGAAGAGCCTGAGGCGAGAGTCCAGGTCCCGCCTAGTTTGGACCCACCAAAATAGGACATTTCTGAGAGGGAATGTATGTGTATCAGGATCTGCCATCTCCCGTTGTATTCATGTGTATATATAGCATATATAGTATACAGTATACAGCGCATGAATACACCGTGAGCTGGTAGATCCTGATACAGATACATTCCCTCTCAGGAGTGTCCTCTTCTTTGAAAGTTCAAATATGGTAACCCTAGGACCAGCTGAGCTCCGAGTGTGCAGGGACCCCAGGCTGTCCGAGTGGCAAAGCGGAGACGGGGGTGTGTGGGTGGGTGTAGGGGTGAGGAAGAGGAATGAGTTCAGCTTCCAGTATTAGCCCAGTTGTAGTGACTATTCTTTGTCCATCTGGCTTAGGTACGGAGGAGGCAGTGTCGGGGCTGGGGTCTTACCTGAGCTGAACTGTAGCGCACAGAAGCAGTAGAGAGCGAAGCTCAAAGGGAAGGGGGACGGATGCCGCTTCATTTTCAGCCACCGGTTCCTTCGAGCTGGGGACAGACTTCGGTGGCTCTGCCAGGACCGGAGCATTTCACAGCAGACGTCAGCTGGCCGGGAGGGTGCTCAGCCTGTGGGCGACTGGCCCAAACTGGAGAGCGGTATTTGTGTTACAAGTTGTAGCCCATGGCACGGGGAGCCAATCAGCACTTTGCACGGGCCTGGGTTTCTCATCAGTGTCACGCTGTGCCCTGCTTTACGCAGCAATCTCTCTTAACTCAAGGCCATAGGTTAAGGGTGCAGGAGCGCAGAATGGCGAAGTGTCGAGTCTTTGGTGCATCTCTGTGTGTAAAGAACGCTCGCCAGGAAAACCGCCCTTATGCCAGCAGGCTGGCTACATACATTGTTGCTGCATCACAGACTTTCTCGTTATTGCATGCACACTGGTCTGCCTACTGATAGGTAATCAGAGCTCAGCGAAAAGTTTGCTAGGAAAAATTAACTACAATCGATCTGCAGTTCTTTGATTATTTTTTTTAACAAGACTAAAATGTTCCTACAAAGTAGGTATGAAATAGCTACGGATACAATATTTCTACTTAATCACTGTTCATTGGGAAGCCGGTGAAGTCTAGTGATTAGGAAGTCATTTATTGAAACCACTTCAAAAGTCTAGCTTATCAATAACAAGGGGAAATGAAGCAAAAAGAAGCATTTCAAATGAGAGAGGCTCAGGTTCCTTAAAGTAGAAGAGAGTGATGTACGTTCTGCTTTAATAAATCCAGGGAACTATTTCTCCTTATGCCCACTCTGGAAAATAAAGCCTTTAAAAGAATGGGAAATTTTATATAAGACAATAGTTGCCTTATTTGCCAGTTTTATTAAGTAGGTCATCACTTGTAAGAAGATTTCCTTTCCATTACTTCCCATTAATGTCTAAATGTAATCATTTCTAAATGCCATGTATCATAGTATCTTCATGTGTTGTAGAAAATGCTGGGATCAGTTCAGAAGGAAAATGCAATTCTTCAGCTTATTCTGCTATGATCACTGAGTTCTACTTTGAAGTGTGCTGCCAGGTTTTATTCTGCTTTGGTTCTTGGGGGGGGGGGTATTTTACGTTGTCACCAGAACATAGCAAAGGCAGATTGCGCCTGATTTCCTTTTGTGTGTGTTCTAAAGCTTTCGGCATGCTGCTGTAATTATTTTTTCTCCAGTTCCCTACAGTTTACACGAGCTAAAATATCCCTGATACGGTGGGCGATTGCAGCTGCCACAATGGGTTGCAAAAGAAGATGATTTTTTCCCCAAGAGCTTTTCGAGTGTAGATATGCTTGATTGAAGGGGTAGGTGGCTGGTGTAGCCGACCCGTTCCTCAAAGCTTTTCCCTTTTCCAGCCTTCCTGGGTTGTCTGAGCCATCTGTTCAACAGTGCCCATGAGAGCTCCCCTTTCCACCATGTTTAGAGCTATTTGGCTGGCCGTGTTGTCTTTGCAAGATATGAAAGGCACGAAGCGTTTTGTGTATCATTGATACACAATTGGCACTGCAGCCCATGCTGTCTTCTGTCCTTCAATACTTGCACACCGACACTCCACAGGTCAGAACTGACAGGACTGCTTCCTTGGAGAACGGAAATAAATTAGCCGATTAGCCAAAGTAGTACGATTCTGTTTCTGAGAGGACACGCAAGCGGGACAGCAGTAGCTGGCGGTGGATGATCTGAGAACCACTGGTAGAATGAGCCGCCTCAGAATAGTTGTTTTCACCTCTTACCAGTACGATGCGAACGGGTGGCACTTTTGCTACCCCACCGCGATTTTGGTACAGAGGGGTCTAGGCTGTCCTGGGGACTCTCGATGCGAACGGGTGGCACTTTTGCTACCCCACCGCAATTTTGGTACAGTAGGGGTCTAGGCTGTTGTTGAAGCTGGTCTGCTATCATCCTCTGCAGCAGCGTGACTAGAAAGAAGAGCTCGAAGGCTGGCTCTGCATGAGGTTGGTGGCACAGCACGCGGAGGGTTTTTGGTCTCTGCGGAGGACAAGCGATAGATCTCTTGCGTGATTCCTGCCGGGGTTAGAACACCTGCTTCCGATAGCCCTGGGCCACACACATTCCTCAGTGCCATAGGGAAAGGCATGGGTGCGGGGGAGGGGTTACTGGCTCACTCATAAGAATAGCCAGCTCTTCAGTAGTGTTGATCCTCAGAGTACTGGTATGTCAGTAGCACCATTCTCATTTTATTGATGGGGAAACCACATAGAAACAACGTAACTCGCCTAAGGTAACCCAGGAGGCTAGATACAGAATCCAGGTCTCTAGTCAAGCACCCTAGCTTCTAAGCTATACTTGTTTCCATGAGTCTAGTACAGTGGCCTCCAACCTTTTAAAGCACAAGATCACTTTTTGAATTTAAGTGCAATCCAAGATCTACCTCTAATATAAATACCCTTGTCCCTCCTCCTTTCTGCCCCTTCTCTGAGGCCCTGCACCCGGTTCTCTCCATCCTCCCTCTCTTGCCCACCCACCCTCACTTTCACCAGGCTGGGGCAGAGGTTTGGGGTGCAGACTCTGGTCTTGGATTAAGGGATCTGGAGCATGAGTGGGGCTCTGAGCTGCTCTTGGGGCAGACAGGTGGGTTACTGGAGTGGGTTCTAGGTGTAGGCTCTGGGAGGGAGTTCGGATGCAGAGATGCTCAGGGCTAGAGCAGGGGTTTGGGCGCAGGAGGGGGTTTATGACTGGGGTAGGGTTTCAGGATGTGGGCTCCGACTGGGCACTGCTTACATCAAGTGGCTCCTGGGTGGTGGTGCAGTGAGGCTAAGGCAGGCTCGGTTTGGGCGCAGGAGGGGGTTTATGACTGGGGTAGGGTTTCAGGATGTGGGCTCCGACTGGGCACTGCTTACATCAAGTGGCTCCTGGGTGGTGGTGCAGTGAGGCTAAGGCAGGCTCACTCCTGCCTTGGCCCTGAACCACTCCATAACGCAGCCAGCAAACTCACTCCCGAGTCCTGTTGTGTCCCCTCTCTGCTCTGTGGAGAAAGGATACAGAGTGGGAGTGGGCATCTTGATCTCAGCACCCTCCTCTCCCTCCGCTGCCCTGCTCTGGATAGCATCTGGGCCAAACTAGTCAGGATCACCTGTCAGAGGCTCCAAGATCTACCAGTAGATCCTGATCTACTGGTTGGTGACCACTGGTCTAGTAGCTGGGATGGAGGGAGAGCAAAGGGAGCTAGCATCTGCATGGCGAGGGACTGACTCCAGCATGGGAAGTTCCTAATACTGCTCCTAAGGTAGTTCCCTAGTGGCTGTTGCCCTGTGCACTGACATCTCACCCAGGGGCTAGTCCCCTTGTCCTATCACCTGTCCCACCCAAACAGCTGGTACACATGTTCCTGCCCCTCCCCAAGGCCAAGTGTCTCTGACAGAACTCAGCAGTGGCTGGGAGGGAGGGTAA